ATCTAAAACATCTCATTCATATTTTTCTCCTTATTATTATTATCATTATTATTATATTTTTTACTTATGTTTTTATTTTTTTTGCTTTGATAAATATATTTATATATATTTTATTTTCACACCTGGAAAATTTTTTAAAAAAAAAGAAAAATAACAAAATCAACAAGTTTTACTAAAAAAGAAAAAGGAAAATGGAGATGATGATTTATACATTAAAAAAAAAAAATGATTCTTGTTTTTTTTTTTTGTATAATATTTGTATATAATTTTTTTTTTTTTAAATTTACTTTTTCTACTTGTACACAAAAACAAATAAAAAGGTTATTATAATGTTTTTATTATTTAAATTTAAAACAAAATCAGAATTTATAGTCTATAAAAACAAAGAAAAAAGGAAGAATATGAATGGAAGGGTTAAGAGTAAGAAAAGAGGGGAGAGGGGAAAAGGAAGGGGAAAAGGTTGATTTTTTTAACTTCGAGTTAAAAAAAAAAAAAAAGGAAGAAGAAGGAGAAGAGAAAAAAAGAAAAGTTGAAACTTGATCTTTTGAATTTTTAAAAATTTTCTTTCTTTTTTTATTCTGACATAAAAAAAAAAAAAAAAAAAAAACGTTATCGATAAATGATATATATATATATATATATTACTTTTTCATCAATGCGGAAATCCAATATTTTTCCTTTTTTAATAAATTATTTAAATGTTATATATATATATATATATATATATATATATATATATATATATATATATCAAATGTGTCGCACGTGCTTGTACGTGTGCGTGTGCGTGTGCGTGAGTTAAAAAGAAAGTTAAATAAGACATAAAGAAAAAAGAAAGGAAAAATTTAATTTACAGGTGATGCATTAAGGTTAATGAGAGTTACGATACCTGGTTATAAATTGAGAGGAGAAATGGCAATTTTAGAATGCGATTACGAATTAGATGGCGAAGTTCTTTATTCAGTCAAATGGTACAAAGATAATGAAGAATTTTACAGATTCGTACCGAAATCAAATCCGCCACAGCATAGCTATAAAGTTGATGGAATAAAAGTAGACGTGAGTAAAATTTCTTGTCGAGAATAAAAAAAAAAATTTTTTTTTCATCCCTTTTTCTCTCCCTCTCCCTCCTTCTCCTCCTCCTTCTCTTATTTCCCATTCGAAAAAAAAAACCCCCAACGGGGGAGACTTTTTGAAATCAATAAAAAACAAAATTGTGACGAAGGTTTTAATGTGACATCTACATAAAAAGTTTGAGTTTTTTTTCGTATACAATTTTTTTTTTTTTTCTTAAAAAATTTTCTAGAAACTTTATAATTTTTTTTTTTTTTTTACTCGTAATAAATGTAAAAATAAGCTGAATATTATTAGAAGGAGTGAGAATGAAAAAAAAAAAAGGGTTAAAAGAAAAGGAGAAAGGGTTAAGCATAGGCTATTTGTAAAAAAGGTTTTTTATCTTTGATCTCGTATAAAAAAAAAAAAAAAAAAAAAAAAAAAATCGTTACCTTATGCGTGATTCGAATAAAATTTTTTTTTTTTTTTTGATATCTGACAGTGAGGAAAAATAAAAAAAAAATTGTCGACCGAAATTATAATAAAAAAAAGGTTTTGATAATATTTCTTATTTTTTTTTTTTGACTTGTTTATTTACTCTATGGTTAAAAAAAAAATAATGTGATTTGGTTATTAATAAAATAATTATTAATGGTAGTAATAGATGAGGATAATTTTAAATGTTATTTTTATGTTTTGACAAATGTGTAAACTCTGTGGTTTTTATAAACGTCTATGGTTTGTTTATTTTCAATTCAATGTTATTTTTAACCGAATTTATATTTCCTTATTTGATGTATTTAATCACACACAAATTAATTCGTAATCTATTTATTTTTTTTTATTAAAAATTATAGCATCAACTCTCTGATAGTAAACAAGTTGTTTTACGCGGGGTCAATCTTAAATCAAGCGGCCTTTACAGATGTGAAGTGTCAGCAGAAGCTCCATCATTTTCTTCTGCTCAAGATGAAGCTAGAATGGAAGTCGTTTGTGAGTTTTATTCTTACTTTTTTATTTTTTACATTTAAAAAAAATTTATATTTATATGTAAGTGTGCTTAAAAGAAAAATTAATGTTTATTAATTAATTATAATCCTTATTTTTTTTATTTTATGGTGGGATTATTTTTTTTTATTTAAAATTAAAAACGGTCGAATAGAAAAAAAACATTCCGCCATTTTGAATTTTATTTATTTATTTATTATTATCATTATTAATATCGTAAAGTAAATTTAATTTGTTTTATTATTATTATTTTATATTTTGCTAACGTTTACGTAATTTGATATTTTTCTATATATATATATTGTCGAAACTAAAGCAGAAGAAATTGTTTTTTGTCGTCGCCATTGTTCACAAAGTGAATTACTTTTTTCAAAAAGAAATTTAAAACTTTTTTTTTGTCTCTTATCCCTTCATATAAATAATAATAATAATAATAAATATGTATTAATAAGTACTATTTAATATTAAAATTATTATTTAATATAAAAAAAAAATTAAATAAATAAATAATAAAGAAAAAGTTTTTTTTTTTCTAGAAAATTAAACAAAATAATTTATGGAGAGAAATTAATTTGATAAATTTTCACCATGCAATTGTGTGTACGCCTTTTGTGCCTTCTGCTATTTTAAAACGTACATCTTTTTAAAAAAGATGTTTTCTTTCATAAATTCATATGTTTTTTAATTATATTTATGGCATAACTTTATTTTTTTTTTTAAAAATATTTATATAGTTACGTCGTATACATCACAAAGAAAAAGTTTGCACGTTTATTTATTTAAACAAAAGATGACGAGGGTAAGGATTTTAAATATAATGATGATTTCCCGCCAAAAATTAATTACCGTGGCTAAAGATCGTTTTTCCGCGGGTTCATGAACATACACTTACGCGCGCGCGCGCGTTCGTATTAAAAAAAAAAAAAAATAACAAAAGAATAAAAAAATTAAAATTAAAATGAAAATGAAAATGAAAAAAAATTAATTAAAATGAGCATAAGTTAAACATGTAAAAAATATGGACGAACGTTAAGTAATACTAAAATTATATTAAATTTG